CCCCTGCAACCGGTCGCCTGGTGCTGGGTGGGTGACCTCCCGCGCTACATAGCTGAAGGGACGCTACCCGGTAGAGAAGAGGAGGCCAGGCTAGTCCGGCGACGAGCTCCGGGCTACGTCGTCTTAGACGGGAAGCTGTACAAGAGGTCCTACAATGGGACCCTACTAAAGTGTTTGCGCCCACACGAGGCGGACATGATCGTCTCTGAACTCCACGGGGGAGTGTGCTCCGCACACCAGGGAGCATGCATGATAGGTAGGAAGGTCGTCCTCCAGGGGTACTTTTGGCCGACAATAATGAAGGACTGCACCGACTATGCAAGGAGATGTGAGACATGTCAAAAGTTTCAGAAGAGTCCCGGCCAGCCAGCAACATTGTACACACCGATCAGCACCGCCCTTCCATTCACAAGATGGGGCGTCGACCTGGTCGGTCCCTTGCCAACCGGGTCGGGAAACCGAAAGTTTGTCATCGTCGCAGTGGACTACTTTACAAAGTGGGTTGAGGCCGAGCCGCTCGCCAGCATCACGCATCTCCAATGTAAGAAGTTCATATGGAAGAATATTTTTTGCCTGTTTGGTATTCCCCTCCAAATAATCTCCGACAACGGAGGGCAGTTTGACTGCGAAGCTTTCCGGCAGTTCTGCGCAGAGTGGGGCATAAAATCCAGCCGAGTTGTGGTCTGCTACCCTCAGGAAAATGGACATGTGGAGAACACCAATCGGACAATCATCGATGGATTGCAAAAGAAGTTGGAGGCCCTCGGGACTGCCTGGGTGGAGGAGTTGAAAAATATACTCTAGACCTTCAGAACAACCCTAAGGAAGGCAACCGGAGAGACCCCCTTCGCCTTGTGTTATGGCTTTGAGGCGAGGGCATCGTTCGAGGCCGTAGTCCCCAGCCGACGAGTGGAAGAGTTCGAACCAGCCACCAATGAGGAGAGGCTGCGAGCCGAGCTCCACACATTGAGGAAAGAAGAGACCATGCCTTCATCAAAGCAGAAAACTATCAACGACAAGTCAAATCATACAAGGACAGCCGAGCCCGGCCTCGGAATTTTGACGTTGGTGATTACGTATTGAGGCGAAGAAAGGCCAGCAAGCCGACAGAGGGAGGTAAGCTTTCCATCAAGTGGGAAGACCCTTAAGTGGAACATACAAATTGAAGACGACAATAGGCCGGCTAGTAGACCGCGTCTGAAATGCGGAACATCTGATGAAGTTTTACTAGTAGAGAATCGAAGTCTCACTTTTTTTTGTAAACTCCTGTGCTCCGAGCACGGGATTACAATTTGTAATTCTTCTTGTGGTCCGCCCACATCATGAATTCAATATACTTTGCTAGCGATATTTTGTCTTCAAAAGAGGTCCGACCTCATTTAGCAATAAAGGGCGGCGAAAAAAAAGGTATTATGCCCCCCCTCGGTGTTTGGCCGACCTCGGCCAGGCTCTTGAACTGAAAATAGCCAAGTGATTTTTGAGAATCCGAGCAATTTTCTAAAGTAAAGAGCTAGCCGCGACAGTCGAGGCGACAGTAGGGCCGACCTCCAGGTCGAGGGTGTTCAAGATGCTGACCTCCGGGTCCTTTCGAGTGCTCGCCGCCTAACATCGCTGGCCAAGCAACTCGCACTCTCGCCATCCCCGAGTTGGCGGTGTGGGTCCGTTCTGGTGGATCATGCAGGGTCCGCCCCTGTTATTTGGCTATCCCCGCGGGACTAACCAGATTATTCCCCAAGTCTTGGCAAACTAGACGGGTTAAAGTGACAGTAGAACTGACCCCTGGGTCATGAACGTTCGGGATACTGACCTAAGGGTCCTCCTCACAAGTTCAATGTCCGACATCGCTGGCCGAACAAGTCACATACTTGTTGTTTCCATATCAATAGCGAACATATCACTTCTATTTGACCAGGAGGGGCATGGATGGGCTCGGCCACGCCAGCCTAACCGCCCTCGGGAGGTTAGAGAAGCCGGATCCCCTAACAAATTGCTAAAGTATTCGTAATTCAAAGTATAGAAAAAGAAACATATGATTTCAAAATTATTTTAGTTAGATGTTACATCAGTCGACTACAAGCTACATTAAAAATGTACAAGGTCATGGCCGGGCGAACTCATCACCATCAAATCAATGATCTAGTCCATGGAGTGCCGGGAAGCTTGGAGAATTCTCCTAGAATCCGAACTATGGAGCGGCCCTCGCCATGGCTATTCCATTCTTGATTGGTGGTCGTCGGATGCACTATAACACTCTCATCCTCATGATTATTCATATGTTTGAGGGTCTTTGCGGAGCATGGAACCTGCAGACAAGACAAGAATGCTATTAGAAAATCAAGAGAAGGCGGAAACAAACGTAATGGTAAGAACATACCGAAACATTAAGGAATTTACCCTAAAAAACAGTAACTCGTCAAGCTAAGTCAATTAGGGGGAGCACCAACCTACCGCCCCATATATGTCTGGTGCTCGAATGTTTTCCCTGGTCAATATCTTGGCTAGCCCATGTCGCCCCAGGACAATTGTCTGTCTGCATCAGTGGAACTACCGTCGTGCCAGGTGCGTCATTGGGAGCGAGCATCAGACAAAGGAGCTAACCAAGGCTTCCACTAGTTCTGCCATCCGCCCCAGGGATCTTATCTAAACACCCGTTGCATCCGTCCGTCCAACAGTCTAGGGGGAAGTCGGGTGACATCCTGCTCCTCCACGCTATCCTGGGAGAGAGAATGCCAACCAGGAGACTGGATGTCGGCTTGGAAGCCGCACTGCCGGCCGGGGTGCCAACCTGTTGGGTTTAATATCAGCCTGCCGCACATCGGATTGGAAACTCGCCGGACAGCGCGAGGGACCAAGGAAATTGCCATCAGCCTAGAACTGCTCTCTGACTCACGCAAGTGGCCGACCTCAAGGTAAATCCCGTGGACTAGCACCTTTGAAACGGAATGCAGATCTGGGAAATTGGGGTTTGAGGAAGGAAGCCACATTCCCCACCCGGAGGGTTAGGCCATTGCACGAGTCCGTAGGCCGGTTACCCGTCGAAGAGGAGGAGACACCGACCCCGAGAAGTTGCCGCCAACCTGAGTTTCTGCCTACCTCGCACAAGCGACTGGCCTAGAGGCAATTTCAGTCGGTTTCATACCTGGAAAAGAGAATGAAGACAAAGACCTGGGAGATTGAACGCCGCCGGGATCCATTGTTTTCTGCCAACGCCGTCTGGAGCTATCACCGCCTGGAGCCGCCGCCTAAATCCTGAAAGCTGCAGGGCCGACCGGGCGAGCGACGTCCGACCTTGAGCACTGGGCGATTCTCCGCTCGAATCTGTCCGCCGTCATGGAGGTCCGCCCGGTGAAGCATGCGGTTAGACCTGCAAGCGTCGGTCAACTGGTTGACTGCGGTGCTGCGCTGGGATGGCTCGGAGAAGACGCGCGCAGGGTTCCAGAAGAGAGAGAGAGAAAAAAAAGAAAAGAAAGGAAGGAAAACGGAAAGGAAAGGAAAGGAAAGAAAAGAAAAGAAAGGAAAGAAAAGCAAAGGAAAGAAAAGAAAAGAAAGGAAAGAAAAGAAAAAGAAAGGAAAGGAAAGAAAAGAAAAGGAAAGAGGGAAAAAAGGGAAAGATCAAATAAATTCGGTAAATAATTTATAAAATTATGAATTTCAGGAATTTTTGGGAGTTGATCTGGATTTGAAGTCTGGGAGAAAGCTGACTACTGGAATACTAGGATGCTGAAGGAATTAATTTGGAAATCTCCATAAATCGCGGGATTGACAGAATCCACAATTAAGACTCCTAGGTATGTGAATATCTTTTAATTGGCAGCTGGCTTGAACTACTCCCTCTTAGCCGAGTCTACTACTCGACTAAGGGAGTGGGGGACTCGTGATGGGGTTATGGGACTAGGCCTAGAGCCTAATCGGCCCAGGCCCCGAACTTGGACTCTCAGGCCCAAGCCCAACAACCCAGAGCTCGAGTTGGCCCAACCGATCAGGCCAATCAAGGAGTGGAAGCCCGAGAGAGTCTGTCGTCCAGTCCAGCGGAGAGCCTGCCTTCCAGCTCGGCCAGGAGCCTGCCTTCGAGCCTAACCAAGAGCCTGTCTTCCAGACCGCCCAGCGGCCTGCCTTCCAGCCCAGCCAGGAGCCTGTCTTCCAGCCCGGCCAACGGCCTGCCTTCCAGCCCAGTCAGGAGCCTGTCTTCCAGCCCGGCCAGCGGCCTGTCTTCCAGCGCAACCAGGAGCCTGCCTTCCAGCCCGGCCAGTGGCCTGCCTTCCAGCCCGGCAAGGAGCCTGCCTTCCAACCCAGCCAGGTGCCTGCCTTCCAGCCCAGCGGAAACCTGCTGCATGAGGAGCTCAAACGTTCTGTCTGCCAGTCAGGCCGACCTGCCAGCCAACTAGAAAGAGTAACGGCCAACAATCAATGCACTATTAATTGTGTATTTAATTCCGTATTAATGTTGTAATTAATTTAGTCATCATTATGTTCGACAGTTACCATTTGTAATCGCCTATAAATGGCAATTCGAATTTCAAATACAGATATGCTATTTCTGGCAACTAAACACTTTTAGCTTCTTTCCTTATTTGCATTGTTTTCGTGATTTCCTGCTTGAGTGTCGTACATAGTTTCCTAAAAGCCTACGAGCATCTTATTTTGGACCAACGATTTATTTCTAAGATGTTATGCTGTATTAAAGAACATTTTTGAGAAAAGTAAGGTGAGACTGAAATAGTTCAATGTAATCGTAAAGGTGCACATAGTTATTTACAGGTCGCACATGGTCATCCAATACAATTCATGCCATATCAATAGTTCAACAAAATTCCTAAGACTTCCAGAATATACTAATCCTATTATTTGTGCAACAAATTCGAAGATTTGATTAATTTTTTAAAAAGTACAAGAAATTAATTGACTTTTTCATGAAAGTATAAGGACCAAATTGACAGTTGACCCTTTTATCTAATACTAGTATATGATGTCAAAATCAGGTTGCATCCCAATGTTCGACCCTTTCTCCCGCGGTCATTGTTAACCATTTTCCCGCTTAGTTATGTACTCGAATGTCAGTCATTCCTCCCCATTTTGCCCGCTCGCATAGTGCCATTTCCTTTCTCCACGATTTGTTCTTCACTTCGGGATAGGGCTGGCAATATCACCGCACCTACACTACTCCCACAGTATTCCGATTTCTCTAATGGCTCCTCAGAAATTCGCGGATTACGAGCGTAAGAGACTGGAAAACATCAAGCGCAACGAGGAAATGCTCGTCGCCTTCAAAGTTCATTCCCACCTCTCAGATCTCTCTGCTGCAACCGCCGCCGTCAGGTATTCCAGCTCCTTATTTCCGCCTCGCTCTATCCTACCGTACAGAGTCAAACCTGCCGGACCTTTCATATTGCTTTTGTTTTGTTTCCTTTGCCTAAAAAGGAAACATTATATTTTATACTCTCTTTAGAGATACTCTTCAGGTATATATATGTGCTTGTTGGATTGTAAAAAATGATCTTTAATTTATACTATGTACACTATTTATGTATTTGATTTTTTTTTAAATATTATTAAATTCAGAAGGACACTGAGTTAGATGGAGATGTATCCCATAGAATCAGAACATGGTGGATGAAGTGAAAGAGTGCGTCAGGATTTCTATGCGACCGAGGTATGCCGACTAGACTGAAGGGTAAATTTTATAGGACAGCAATTAGGCCTGCACTACTGTATGGCGTAGAGTGTTGGGCGGTGAAACATTGTCACATTCAAAAGATGAGTGTGGCAGAGATGCGCATGGTGCGTTGGATGTGTGGGCATACTAAGAAGGACCGCGTGAGGAATGAGACAATCAGACAAAGGGTGGGAGTAGCACCTATTGAAGACAAGATGCGGGAGTCGCGCCTATGGTGGTTTGGTCATGTGCGTAGAAGACCGAGTGATGCACCTGTTAGGCGAGTTGAGATGTGTGGAGAAGAGGCAGTGAAGAGAGGGAGAGGAAGGCCCAAACAGACGTGGGTTAGGGGATTCGAAGTGATATGCTTCTTCTGGGGTTGGATGAGGGCATGAACTAAGTGGAGGGCGGGGTATTCACGTGAAGGAGTGATCTTGATAATCTTTTTCCCTCATCTTTTTTTTTCCTAGTTTTTTTTATCCTTATATATATATATATGCATTATTTTCAGCCTTTTTATTTTATCATTTTTATATATATTCATCTTTTTTATATTGTCTTTTCATAATAGCTTATCTTTTTATCTTTATTCCTTCTTTTTATTTTATCATTTTTATATATATTCATCTTTTTTATATTATCTTTTCATAATAGCTTATCTTTTTATCTTTATTCCTTCTTTTCTTTTTTATTGTGATATCATGTATCGATTCATGTTAGTCGACCCCAATATCTTTTGGGACTAAGGCTTGGATGTTGTTGTTGTTGTATTAAATTCGTCTCATTACTAAGTTTTATAATCCGATTTTTATTTTATTTTTACTAATACAGAATTAAATATAATGACGGTCAAAGTTATACGTTGTCAAACGTGAAATGTTGACTGTTTCAACTAAAAAGAGACGGAGGAAGTAGTAAATTTGCCTGGTTGTGTAAAACTTTATGTGGTTGCTTTCATATTTGGATGTACATAGTACAGGGATGTGTTGCCATTTCTGAGTAGCGATTTCTATAGGTTTTTCATGTTTTCAAATCTTTGTTGATTGTTTAAATGTATTCTACTATTACTACTGCAGGATGCAGAAAAGATCATATAATAAGCTAAAATCTGTGCCTCCCACTGTGCTACGTCATTCTCTAAGGACTCGAGGAAAGCCTCCAGATCCCTCTACAGTTGGTGGCCTGAGACATGATCTCGTTGGATCCAAAATCAGGGACAAACTCAGCAAAGAAAACTCACTGTCGAATTTGGTTAGAGAGCCTGTACCTATCAATATGAAAGATGCTTACAGGGGTGTTACTACAGGCTCAAACCAGCAATTAATTGAAACAATTAAGAGTTTATCGAGAAAACCAAAATTGGATGAGAAGGCTGATCTAGAACCTAACTTTTGTGATGTTAACAAGATGACCAGGCCTTCATGTTCAGTAGATATAGACGTATTGAGATTGGAACCAGAAAGTATTGCTCGGGTTGTGCCAGGAAGAATACTTGATGTGAAGTTTTTCCCAGCAACAGAGATGAAAATGGTTGTCGCAGGAAACATGCATGGAAATATAGGTTTCTGGAATGCTGATGCAAAAGAGGAGGATGGAGAGGGACTTTATGTTTACCAACCTCATTCTGGTCGAGTATCAGGGATAGTGATTGAACCATTTACAAGGTCAAAGGTTAGATCTATACACACACATATATATTTGCATTGTGATAAAGAATTTAAGATTTTCAAAATGTAGGCTTATATGCACTCATCAGAAATATGAAGTGCTTATTGAAAAAAATTATAGCTAAAGCCGCTGGATTGGCTAGTTATGCTGATATATGAAAAAGTGATATTTAAAATATATTTTATTAATAAAATATAGAAAAAATTATATGAATAAATAGCTAAAATAATTTGCTACATTAACTTCAGTCAATACAACCATAAAAGTAACTTCAACCTCATGTTTTTTATTATTACACAACTCAACGCGCGATGTCAAAAGTTGTGTGTTTTGTGAAAAAGTTGGTTGATAAGTCTGATAAGCCGTAAAACATTGTCACCGAACGGGCTTTGAACATTTCTAAAATATATTAACTCATTCTGCTTTTCATTAGAAGTCTTCATGGCTCAAGGTTTTGGTTTGATTTATGGTTGCACCTTGTGTGCAGATGATTACATCTTGTTATGATGGGTTTATCAAGTTGATGGACATTGAGAAGGAGTTGTTTGATTCGATATATATAAGCAACTATCCTATATATGCTATATGTCAAAGTCCAGACAATATGAATTCATTATATTACGCAGAGGGAAGTGGTTGGTTTGAAATATGGGATTTGAGAGCTGGAAAATCATCATCATCCTGGAAGTTACATGGAAATGTGATCAACTCTATAGATTTTAACTCGGAGAATATTAATACTATGGCTACAAGCTCTTCTGACAAAACTGTCTGTATCTGGGATATGAGAAATGCTGGCGCTAATAAACTCAAACCTTTGAGAACTATTCACCATAAAAGACGTGTACATTCTGCTTACTTTTCACGATCTGGTCGACTTCTTGCGTCAACAAGGTGATTTATTCTAGTCTCATACCTTGTTGGCTATTGCTAATAGCCTAATAGAAATAGTTCTGACCTCTGAAAGTACTTTTTTTTATCGGTTTCATTATTGTCATTTGTATCTTATCATTTTCATGTGTATCTTATCTCTATTTTATATTATCGTTTTTTACTATACCTTATCTTTTTATCATAATTAACTTTTTCCTTTTGACTCCTACATAATGTATCAATTCATGTTAGCTGACCCCAAAATATTTTGAGATCAAGGCTCGAAAGTTGTTTTTAATATTGCCATTTAGATTTTAGGTATTGGAGGAATGGACTTTCAGAAATGATATTTCCTTGAACTGGTTGACTTTGCTCGCACTGCTAGCTTGAATATACTTGAGCAAAAAGGAAGCTCAATTGGTGAAATTCAATATTCCTGTTCTATGTATGTCCTGATGCTGACATTGGATGCATAAGCCATAACTCATGTCATTTAATTTGTTTATGCCTAGCAAAGAATAGTAGGTATATATATGGCCTTAATAAGGTTATAATAGGGCTCATAGAGTCGTAGTCATCTTGATCACTAAACCTGTATACTTAAACTTAAAATTCTTGAAGTCCTTTTCACTCCCTGGCTCAAATAGTTCCTGCCTTCACCCTATTTTGATTGTCTTACACTCCTTTTTGGATTGTCCCAAAATAAATGTTCCGTTTCCTTTTTTGACAAGAAATATATAGTTGATATCATTTCAATTTATTTTACTCCAACCTCAATCATAACTTTTATTTTTCACCCACTTTATAGTTGGCTATTTTATATTGACTGTATTAGTGTAAGATTTTTTCCATTTTTGGCAGTAATGATGACAAAATAGGCTTGTCAAGTGGAGCTAATTATGAAGATGTAAGTATGATTCATCACGATAACCAAACACGCGCACATATTTCCTCATTCAGGCAAGTATGTTCTCATTCTACATTAATGTTTTCCTGGACAACTAATGATGTCACACAAGCAACTAACTATTACACAATGGCTTTTGAGCTACATCTCAATCCCATAGTCACGAGTCCAATGATAATAATAATTATAATAACTTAATAGGCTTAAAGATTTATTTATTTATTTTCGACATGATTTTCATAATGGATCATTCGGAAACAGTTTCTGTCTTTTAGTACACGAGTAAGATTGCGTACATCTGACCCCCTCACCCCATCATAGGTAGGAAGAGCCTTTGTGGCACTGGACCATGTTAGAACTGGCGGTATTATATAGTAAAATATAAGGGTACAAATGGCTCGGGACAAGATATCACTTCTAGTCACGTATAAAATATGTGTTGGGTTAATGGGTTCAATGCAGATTGACCCATTACCCTTTAGTATAAATTGGGTCCCATTGGAATACGAACGGCTTCAGAGACCTCTGGACCACCGTAGGCGAGATGACTCCTAAGGGCCTTGGTTACAAGGTTTAATATGGGCCGTGCGGATCGTGCCCTTGCACACCACAAGACCCAGTCTTTGTGGTTAGGACGTTCGTCCGCATCCAACACATACGAACGATAGCTCATCCTTGGCCCATCAAGGATCCACCAGCTTGGCTCATCAGGGACGCTCCCTCGAGATATTGGCGGGAAACCCAGATATTGTTGGGAGGTGCATTTAATGCAGTAGATTTGGTGGTTGAAAGCTAGCCATCCACAATCCTCCACGTCAACAACACTACATACCCCTTTTACAATATAAATAGTACTCTCTCCGTCCCGAAAAGGATTGCCATGTTTGATCGGCACGTAGAATAATAAAGTAAAAATTGTGTGTGAGAGATTTGTGCAGAGGAGGGAGAAATAACAGGAACCACAAATTGATCGACTAAAAGGGAAAGTGACAAAGTTTTTGGGACAACCAAAAAAGGAAAATTGTCAAAGTTATAAGGGACCGAGGGAGTAGCATTTATTTCATTGTAAAAGGTTTGACAACTTATCACTCTTGCATCATAGCATTTGTAATCAGTTCGTAGCATAATGTTGGACGAACGACCTCAGGGTTGTATAATGAGTTGTACTATATTCAGCTTCTTTTTGGGATTTGATAAAGACACGACTACTTTCTACGGCTAAAGAACTCTTCTCTTGCTTGTTTAATCACTTAGTCCACCAAAACCTTCCACTCGAGATCCAAGGGTACGTGTTGGACCTTTGAGTTGACGGAATAAACCTCAACAATATGTTTTCCTAAAAGTTTACTATCTACCCTTATCAGAGTAACCGAGTTACAAGATAGAACTTTTACGATAAAAAGGTGTATGATGTATTTTAGCTACCGATAAAGTAACAGCGAACAAATGATTTGTATATGAAGTGGTCCAAACACTTTATTACTAATATTGCAGATAAGAGTAATAGAGTAAGATAATTAGAGAAGAATGAAAAGAATTTACCGTCCCTCTCAAAATTCAACATGGTTCTCTATTTATAAATAAAATGATACTGCATACATTAACCAAAGTGTTCAATGGTGGAATGGCGGTTAAGCCTACCAAAATGAAACGGTGACAATTTTCCAAAAGAACATGTACATTTTTTTAAAAACATTTTAATATAATATAAAATTTGCCATTATCCATCCACACATGCAAGAGCCACATGACCTTTTAAAAACAATAATACGTAGTACTTTAATATATGAAATGAGTATATGTGAACTAACATATTAAAGTAATATTATTATAATCATTATGAGATCACACCAGCACAAAATGGTCTCATAATATATACAATAAACATTATATTCAAATAACATCATTTTAATAAATCACATTTTTTGTTTATAAAATGATTAAGGATCGTGTAAATTAACAATTGAGCTTTATTTTCAGTAAATCTCAACAGGCCACTGGGTAATGTTTTTGTTGTAATTATTTTGCACTTTTAAAGTTAAAAGTGATCAACTCAGTTACCGAAAATGATAAAAATCTAAAACTAACTTACTTTTCCACTATTACTTTTTCTTTCGCCCAAACCTACTCCACTCGGCCGCTTTCCTAATTTCGCTGTCACAGAACAAGATCTGTTGTCCCTCCCTGCTTAGGGGTCACACAGGAGACACGTAAATTGCAATAGTCTTGATAATCTAATAACTTAACCAAAAATTGATGGGGTCAGTTGTATAAAATGAAACCTTATTCACGTGTCTGATTGAGCTGTATACACAGCCAAGTTGATTTATGATTTCCATTATTCTTTTTTCCTTGTTCTGAAAAATTTGTGCTTGTTTGACAAAGCAGAGGTATATGGGGCTGGGATGATTCCTATATATTCATTGGAAACACGCAAAGAGGAGTTGATGTCATTTCGACAGGCGAAAAGAAAATTCATACAACATTACAGAGTGAGCATATATCTGCTATACAGTGCCGCTTTGATGCACACCCCTACAATGCTGGAATGCTTGCAGGTGCTACCAATGGGGGTCAGGTGTATCTTTGGACACCTTAGCTATCACAAGTGCACAGCATTGCATGTTTTTCATCTTGAGATTTGCTTGAAATGATCGTCTTACCAACCTGCTACCTAGCTGCTAACATTTTGTGAATTATAGAATAGCCATAATAGTATGTATCATTAGATTTCCTTGCTCTGATTTCAAGACTATCAACATTTACCTTTGGTAGTTTGGTTGTATCATTAGTACGTGGCTTTTTGTTGACGTTGACTTTTGGTCGTTTGGATTGTGGAACTGGCTTATATTGCATATATGGCTTGGGTGGACTTGGTTCCGGTTTCGCACAAGTAGTAAAGTACTAGGCATATAGAAACCAGATTGGGCACCAAATTTTGTGTTATGGTCTGGCACTGGTAGCCAGTACCGGCGCAACTAATTTCAGGTCCTCAAAATTATGACTTTACCCTGTGGATTCTGTGAATCCACTTCTAGTGTAGTTTGTTTAAAGAAACATTAGTCAGTTGTGTTACTGTAATTTTTTGACCCAGAACCAGCCAGATCAGCGCCACCTAATACACATTTAACACCGAGTAACAAGCCATGTACCTAGGGATGGACCCAACCGGTTCAGCCCGGAACCAGCCTGGCCCGCCACTGTGCGGGCTGGGACCGGCACGGTTGGTGCTAATCGGGCCCGGGGTTTTACCCGGTTGGGGAGGGTTGGGCGGGCCAGGCTCGGGCCCTGTATTTGTTGAACCAGCCCGGGCGGTTCAGGCCGGGACCGGGCTTTTTTATTATATTTTTTGGTTTTTTCAATTTTTTTGTTTTTCTTGGTTAGGGCTGGGTGTTTGGGGTTGGCGGGGGGGGGGGGGGGGGGGGGTCGGGGGTTAATTAGAAAGCAAAAAAACAAATTACCTTAACTCGGGCCCGGCCTGGCCCGGTTAAGCCTGGACCCGGTATCAACCTGGGCTGGTTTCGGGCCCAACAATTTGAAAAAAAAACCCGCCTAGGACCGGCCCAGAATCAGAACCGGACCGGGTCCATCCCTACATGTACCAGTTTCGAAATTCCACTTTCACCCAAGGCTGCAATGCGAAAAAAGGCTATCTAGAGAACCACGCACATTAGATGTTAGGTATAACCCATTCGCACACAGTGTATATCTACGCAGACAGAGTTGTTTGTACCCACAAAGTTATTTTTATACAAAGAGTGCGCGAATGGGAAACATGGACCTTGTGTCACCACACCAATTACGATGTTAAAAAGCCAAGTTTGAGTTGAAGCCTACAATCATCAATTCATCATCTCTAATAGGGATGTCAATTTGTATAGTCTAGGTCAAGTTTGAGTTGAAACTTGAAACCTACAATCATCTCTAATAGAGAGGTAAATTCAATACTCCTTTCATCCCGCAAAAGTTGTCTCAGTAAGACTCATTTAGATTCTCATAATAATATAGTACTATTAAATTTAATAAAACTTGTATGATTCTAAATTATTCATACTTTATCAATTAAATATCGATCACATAAACTCATTTTTATTAATAATTACACCACTTTATCATAACCCAATGTTAATGGTAGATATGGACTCGGGCCGGGTGGCACGACCCAGAACCGACCCGGGACCGGTACTGTTCCGGCGGGGCCCGACCCGGTGGCCCGGTCAGTGACCAGTCCGGGTAGGCCTGACCCGTGGGTTTTCCTGTCCGAGCTCGGGTCACCCAAAACAAGGCCCGTCCCGGCCGAGCCCAGGCCCGGTTCGGGCCAAAACTATTTTTTTTTTCAATTTTTTTTTAAATTTTCGAGTTGGCTGGGTATTTAGGACCATTTGTGGTGGTTTGGGGGGTTGGGGTGGGACTTTGGGAGGGGGGTTAATTAGGAAGAGGGGGGGAAAAATGATAATGGGCCCAGCCGAGCCCGGACCCAGACCCAGTGGTTACCCGGGCCGGTCCCGGGTCCACCACTCCTGAACCACCAGCCCGCCCGGGCCTAGGCCCGACCCGGACCCAGCCCGGACCCAAGTCCACCCCTAGTTAATGGGATGAAAATAGTAATTTCCAATGACAAATCTAACTAAAGATTTTATCAAAATCACAAGACCACTAATCTTCGACTTTGTTGATGAGATTGAGAATTAATGTGAGCAAAATAGCAAACCAATAGTGACCAAATAGAAAGGAAAGTCAACCACAAAAACTCAAATGCGAGAAATGCAAAAAACTACTTCAAAAATATTTTTACTTAAATTGTTTTAAGTCCCAAATAAGATCACACATTTACCAAACCAGACCAATTCAAACCAAACATAAACAGATCAGATCAAATTAGATAAAGTCGAAGTCCAAGTAAAAACATGTAACAGCACGAGACCCAAAATGAAACAAAAAATAATGGAACTGTATCAACGAAGAAAAAAGTAGCCTTTGGAAACCATTTTGGAACGAGGAGCATACCTTTGTGATATGTGAAACACATTTTGATATACCTATAAATACGAAGTTTTTGTGATGATCTTTGATCCTATGATGTTTGCATATTCAAAAATAAAAACCATTCACATAAATGTCAATATTTTCCAATTCTACATAACACCAAGCAGACCATGTACCATGTGGGAGTTGATGAGGAAAAAACCACCGAGAACCCCATCAAAAAGACACTAGTTTCAACGAATAAGGAGAGTTGTCATGCTGTTTTTTACCAAGAACCTGAGGGTAATTAAACCTAGCCAATGAAAATCAAATAATTATATTTACCAAACAGGCAAATGACCATTATTTTACTATTTTCAAGTTATAACCAATATGATTATATGAAATACAAAACTTTCACATACACTTTAGTAGTTGAAAAACCCTCCATCACTTCAAATCTCACATCCATATTCTGAATTGAGAAAATCCAAACAGTGTCTCATAATAAAGGGAGTATCAAATTTTAGGAAACAATAGTCGATAAGGTCTAAATAGATAACTATTTTCTAAAGATGAAGCTCATTTTTCTTCATAAATGTCTCACATGGAGGTTACATCAATCTTAGAACCCTAGCTTGGTGCGACGCCAGTGTCTGCGCTTAGCATTGTACCTGACCAAATACAATATTAAATTAGACGAAAAAACACAGACAAAACATTTGAATCTATGCGCAAGAGAGTTCACTCGGATTCCGGAAGATTGTGGAAATTGATGATAATTACCTGATCGTGTTGTCGGTCCTCATGCGAATCCAGTATGGAATAGGTCGATTCTGCCTCTGCTTCTTTGCAAGCTTCTTCTTGATGATGAAGGTCTTGTGTGACGGCTAATGCATAAACACATAAAATTTAGACTTGCATGATTAAATACGGAGAATGACTTATCACGATGCTTAGAGAGACGGGGTGGGGGGAGACGCATAATGAAGGAGGTGAGAATCACCATTTTCGAAAGAGCGGGAGCAGAACCAGCAGAGTTGCGAGGAAGATGACGGCCTACGATCACACCAAACCCTAGGGCTTGAATTTATGCAGTTTTGTTGCATAGACAACACTGGGCTTATTTTTTTATATGGGCCGTTTTATTAATTTATGGCGAAATTAATTAAATTCCCAAATCTGAACTCCAACCTTGAGATAAAGACAAAATTTCCTAAATAGAAATAAAAAAAATTTGAAATTTCAAAATAGGAGTATCATGTTTTTTATTTCTTGAATATGAGTAAATTTCTGCCAAGTTTCACATTACTAGGCTTTAAAACATGACATTTTTTCCAAACTTTGCAGATTACTCCTATTAAAGGAATAAAAAACGTGATACTCCTATTTTGGAATTTCAAAATATTTTTGCTCCTATTTAGAGCAATTTCTATGAGATAAATGATAATTTGAGCTTACATTCTATTTTATTGTCTAAACTAGTATAGTACTCGTGCATACGCACAGGAAAAACAGTTGGTCAGGCCATATATATAGTTTTATTCACGATTTGATTAAATATTGAAACAATTTTTTTACAATTTTACATCATTTCAAAAATGGAGTACAATATGTGAATATAAAAAAGTATAAATCCATACAACTAATATTCGAAGTAAAAGAAACTTCAAGTAAAAAAAATTGACATCATCCATTAGCATTTTCTATGTAATATTAAACTTAGTTGCTAGAGTTTTAAAAAAGTACTTTTAGTCTGCTTATCTTATATCTAAAAGCAGTACATATGAGAGAAAAATTCACACTCTCAATATTTAGTCAACTTATCTTATTTTATACTTAAAAGCAGTACACACGGGAGAGAACATTATCTCATTCAATTATTAGCAAGTTTACCTTCTTATATTATATCTAAATAAATTATGTGTGAGAGAGAAACTCTCACTCAATTATTAGTTTGTTTATCTTCTTATACCCAAAAGTACTACACATGAGAGGGAAAATTATTTCGCTCAGTTATTAATCCGCTTATCTTATCTTATACGTAAAAGCACTATATATGAGACGAAAAATTCTCCCGCTCAATTATTGGTCTGTCTAGCTTATATAGAAAAGCACTACATATGAGAGAAAATTCTATTGCTCAATTATTAGTCTGCTTACCTTATAGCTAAAAGCAGTACGTACGACGATACGAGAGAGAATTTTTTCCTGTTCAATTATTATTCCGCTTATCTTATACCTAAAACCACTACATATGAGAGACGAAATTCACCTGCTCAATTATTAGTCTGTTTATCTTATACCTAAAACCACTACATGTGTAAGAGGTAATGCTCCCGCTCAGTTATTTGTCCGCTTATTTAGTATGCCTAGAAACGCTACATTTGAGAGAGAAAATTATCCCGCTCAATTATTACTCCATTTATATCATCTTATCTTACACCTAAAAGAACTACGTGTGAGAGAGAAAATTCTTCCGCTCAGCTATTTGTTGTTACTAACCATTGAAGTTGAAATCTACCTATGTGAAATTTGACATACTAATAAGTAGATAATAAAGAAATATAATATTTTTTATAAGCACCTAATGTTATTTTCGAGCCCATTTTAGCTATTTCATGAGAAATAAATAAAATGACCCTCTACATTTCAGTACCAAAAGTAATTTAGAACCTACTTATTTTAATTATTAAATGGTCTTTAGAAAATGATTTGAACCATTTCTAACATCATTTGGATTTTCTAAAATGAAAAAGTAGTTTTTTTATTCTTACCGTTGATGTGTTGCATGACTCCATTTATCAACTTTCATAGATCAAGTGATATTTAAATTGGTGATTTCATCCACCGAAAATAATAGCAATATTTCCTAACATGAGTTTTATATGTAGAATTTCCCATTTTATTATAAATTAG